GATTATCTCACATCCAATAAAATTTTTCCCCAGCAATTATTTATACCTTTTTACATAATATCATAAATTTTATCTCGAAGAAGAAGTTAATCGCCAAGGTGGTAACTGCTCCTACTGCCAAGGCGAATAATATCTTCAGTCATCTTCAGTCATTTTACTTTTACTTTATTATTTTCATCTTATTTCTTTTAATCTCCAAATATCACTAACAGTTTTAAATAGCCCAAGGGCCTAATATCTTAATGTACATATTAAGTTGCATTTTATTAGATACCAAGACGACAAGTCATTACTTAATCGCCTTGGCAAACCGCCTTGACAAACAACCAATGCATGTGAACAAACACCCTTTTAAACATAGACCTTTATTGTAAACGTGCAACGACACGTAATCTTTTAATTGTATGAATAACCCCACAATTCATCACACATATTTACAATTATGTAAACCCCTAGACGCCTGATTAGCGAAGCGCCTCGGCTTGATTATCAGCCACGGCGACTAAGCTAACAGGCCTAGGCGGTCAGTTATCAGCACAGGCGCCAAGCTTGTCGCGCCTGTATTCATTACAGCCTAGTCTTTCAATAAAGAGTTTTATGCAACTTAAAAAAAAAAAAAACCTAACCTAACTTCTTCCTAACCTAACCTAACCTAACCTAACCTAACTTCTAACCTAACTTCTTCTTCATCGATCGATCGTTCATCAGGGCAACATGTAAAAATTAGCTCTTCCTTTACCTTTTCACTAATTAATTAACCAATTTAATTTCTTTTTTTGTGCTAAATCAATGTTTAAACCATCATAGACAACAATTGAATAAGTTTTGTGACCAAAAAAAGTGATCTTCATCGTTTTTTGACCGTAAAAGGCTTTTGCCTTTCGGCAATGGCAACATTACCATAGGCAAACTAAAAACTGTATTTTTCACCATCTTTTCACCATAATTCATCTTTAAAAATGTGCAATTCATCTTTAACCATCATCAGTGCATCCTAATTAAGTGTTTCCAGTGCTAAAAATTCATTAATTAACTAATTAAGAAAAACGTGGTCTCACAGACAATTTTCCATCAATCCATCGATCGATCGAACATCCCTATTTGAAGGACTTTAACCCATCAAAGTTAAACAAAGGTGACCTTGAGTTTCTACCATCAATCGATCGATCGAACAGCAATTTGAAGGTCTTTGACCTATCAAAGTCAAACAAAGGTGACCTTGAGTTCCCTCTATCTATCGATCGCTAGAACGCTATAAACAATTTGAACAAAAATCATCAAATTCATCCAACTCTGCCTTCCATCCATCGTTCGATCGAACATATCAACATATAAACTCAACCATTCATCTACCCTACTCAACCAATGTCAAAGAACACCGAAGACACTGTTGATTCTGACGATACCGAGATAGATCCAGCTGAATATCACACACCAACATTCGAAAGAGTACTAGAGCTCACACCTTCAACGATCAACCATCAACCTCCCGGCGTAGAAAACAGAAAAAGACAACATACATGGATGAAATAGACTACGCAACCCACTCATTCAGACGAATTGGCGACATAAGTACACAAAACATCGATACTTATATTGAAAATCTGCGAAGTGACCACTCAGCTCAAAGCATATCTTGACAGTAGAACTGCAAAAGTATTAGTACACCTCAAAATGGCATAAGCAATTCAATCGATAATGCAATGTCCATCATTGAACATCTCTGCATGGCAATAAACAAATACACAATATTGGAAGCTCAAAAAAACAATGACCATCTAACAGAGAAAAACAAATGGCTAACAGAACAGTATATAGCAGAGAAAAAACATTCTGAACAACTGGCAAAAGCGGCAACCAACATAACCGAAGTCATGACCGAAGCTGTACAAGCAGCTATAACAACAGCAATACCTCTTGCAATTACTGAAATGGCAAAAAACACAAAAGAATCCATCGATGCTTTAGTTGAAAACATGGCAAAAATAAATGAAAAAGTCACCCAAACCCAAGCTCATTCATGGGCTCAGATAGCGCAATTAACACCACAAAATGAAACAAGAAACAATTAAACCGATTTCGCAGTGATAGTGAACCATAAAGATCAATCGATCGATCGACCGATTGACCAAACAGTCAAGGAAGCGATCAATCCAACGCACTGGAATATACCCATCAATGGCAAAGAAAATTAGCAACAACAGAATGGTACTGAAATTCAACAACAAAGAAGAAGCGAGCCGAACAATGAACATGATAAACGAGAAAGTCACTAATCTAGAGGCACAACCATAAAGAAATCAAATCTCATAATAAAACATGTAGACACCATCAGCAACGAAGAGATATTGGAAAACATCAAAACACAATGCGAACTAAGAAAATTGGCAATGAGAAGTTAACACAGATGAGAATTAGAACGAGAATCCGTATCCGCAATAAACAACACAACAATACTCAATCAAAATACCACAAAAGAACACATCATTATCGAATTGCCTTACGAGATCTATTGGATGTTAATAAACAATGGCAAAGTAGGACTAGGATGGATGAGATACACTGTCGAACCAATAAAAACCTTGTTCAATGTTTCAGATGCTGCGATTTTATACCGCAAAATACTGTTTGATAAACAACTACAGACCAAAATGTTACAAGTGTGGCTACGAAGGACACGAAGGGCAGAATGTATAAGCGTGGAAGTTAACTGTGCCAATTGTCTCCGCCGTAATACAGCCTTCAATCGTAAACTTGACACTAAACATGGCAACATCAGAAGAGTGTCAGATAAGAAAGAGATTTAGCAAATTTAGAAGAAAGGACTGATTATGGCCAATTAAGTCTAACATAAACATCAATATCAGCACTACAATCGACCACTTAAACTTCTTATAAACCAGATAAACCTACCGCTTTTCGTAATCATCTCGATCCATCGATAGATCGACAATAAAAATAATATGCCGGGACTCAACCATCTCTTCATCAAACTCCATCTATCGATAGACCGATTGGCAATATGTAAATCACAAAACTTAACCATTTTCCTACTCATATCCATCCATTGATAGATCGAACACATAAACCAAAACCACTGGACTTAACCATCTCATCCATCTCCATCCATCGATAGATCGATCAGATAAAATAATTTCACGGGACTTAACCATTTTCTTATACATCCCCATCCATCGATAGACCGATAAGCAATATGTAAACTACAAAACTTAACCACTTTTCCCATGTACAACCATCCACCGATAGATCGACCATAGCAAATCATATCACAGGACTTAACCATTTTCAAATCAAATTCCATCCATCGATAGATCGACCACATAAAACAAATCACGGACTTAACCATTTACTCATCTTGCCCCATCCATCGATAGACCGATTGGCAATATAAATCAAACTCATTTTCCTACTCATATCCATCCATTGATAGATCGATATATAAATAAAACCACTTGACAACCATCTCGATCCATCAATCCATCGATAGATCAGATAAAATAATTTCGGGACTTAACCATTTTTTATCATCCCCATCCATCGATAGACCGATAAGCAATATATAAACTAAAACTTAACCACTTTTCCCATGTACATCCACCGATAGATCGACCAAACTAGGACTTAACCACTTTTCAATCAAATTCCATCCATCGATAGATCGACCACATAAAACAAATCACGACTTAACATTTACATCCTGCCCCATCATCGATCGATCAATATGTAAACCCCAACGTTTTCTATATATCCATCCATCGATAGACCGACCACAAAAATAGAACCAAGGGACTAACAATTTTTTCTCATCCATCATCATCGATAGACCGATCGGCAATATGTAAAACACGCAACAACAATTTTCTAGTTTACAATTCATCGATAGATCGTAAACTATTCCTTCATAAACTTCCAGAAGCCCACTTTGTAAAACCCTTTCGATCGATCGATCGATCGTTCAACCTAAACCTTTTACAATCAATAACATCCATCCATCTATCGATCGAATAAACACTTGGTTAAGTAATCAATCTGGGCCAAAGGCTCAACCTATCAATAAAGTTTGCAAAAAAAAAAAACCTAACCTAACCAACCAACCAACCAACCACCCTACTTCCTAACCTAACCTTCTTCTTCTTCAACCTAACCTAACCTAACTAACTCTTCTTCTTCTAACTCTAACCTAACCTAACTTCTTCTTCTTCTTCTAACCTAACCTAACCTAACCTAACAACTAACCTAACTTCAACCTAACTTCTTCTTCAACTAAACCTAACCTAACCTTCTTCTTAATTGACCTTTTCCGACTGTTCCAAGTGATCTTTTCTTAAATATTTTTGTTTAAATTTATTAGTAATACCCCTGCATCACCCCGCGAACAGTTCAGGACCTAAAAAGATCAGGCCTGACCGCTGTAAGCGGTAACGTCTCTATTGTCATTCACAATGGTGAATAACAATGGTAACCTTTCTGCCCTTCAAAGACGTGCTCCTTCAACCTCAACCATTCCATCTGTCGGCCTTCGACCTACCCGAAGTGCAACCCTCAACATGACCTCCGCCTCAACCGAGAATCTCTCAAGTGTCCCAAACATTGAGACCCTACTCTCCGACCTTGCCAATGCGAAGACGACAATGTACGACTTCGTTAAGAGTAAGAGTCAATCACCAGATATAAAGCGAATCATGGATACTGAATGTGCAAAAATTGATGCTGCTCTGGACCTACTTCAACAACTCGTCGATACCTTTCGGCCTGGCGAAACAGGACCAGACGAGGAACTGACCTCTCTACGTAGCAAGGTTGCTAAGCTAGAACGCGATCTCAAAGCAGCTGAACAAAGAACAAGGCAACCCAACAAGAGCTTAATAGCCTCCGCGAAGCGTCAACCACCTCAATGTGTCCAACACCCGAAAGAGAAGCACTTACTGCCGAGATTGAGTCCCTAAAGTGGAGTGTCTCTCGCCTTGAGAGATCTCTGAATGAAGCAAACAAAAACTAGATGAAACAAGTGCTAATTCAAATTTTTATTCCATAAACAATGAAACTGGTCGAAAGACACAACAATCAAATCGTCCGATGAACCAACATGCTCCAAAACCCACAAGAACTGCAGCCACTGTCGACCTTACCACGGAACCACCAGACCAACGCATAAGAACGCAATCATTTCGCCGCCAAAGACAAGAGCAACGTCAGCAACTAACTGTCAATAGCCAACCTGGCACTAGACGAGGAAGCCAACAACAAGAGCACGTCCATTCGCCGCCTCTAAACGTAAACAAACCAAAAGTAAACACAAGACCAGCTGTTCACATTATTGAAGGTCTGTTACCAGGGCGACCATTGCCAACTGACGGCACATGCGTCATACTGAGTCACCAAGACCCGGAAATTACAAGCGACCAACTCATCACCAAGTTTTACAATTCTTACAAACCAAGAGATCATAACGTCAAAATAAACAGAATCGCTAAAATCTCCTCCTCACGAATAGCCATAATCTGTAATGACCAAAATAGTGCAGTTGAACTCTCTGCCTTCATTCCAACAATCGAAGGGATGACCTGGTCAACTGCCCAAAAGAAAAGGCCGATACTTCGAATACATGGGATCCCGGACAAAACAACTGTCGAGGACCTCATCTGTCAGCTGAAGTATCACAATGATGAGCTTGCCAACATTCAACTAGATGATAGCAACTTCGTTTTTGCCTTCAAAAAAACCGAAGGTGATGTCAAAGAATCTAATGCTGACTTCTTCTTCAGATGTGATGCTGCGATTCATAAAATCTTCACTGCCAACCCCTTTGTAAGGATCGACTACCGCAGGTGTCGAGTCAGCAACTACTCGAACTTCCTGCAGTGTTGGAAGTGTCAGATGTTTGGTCACAGCTCAAGCAACTGTAACCAAAAAATTGCATGTTCCCACTGCTCCGAGGAACACAATACCAAAGACTGCACCAAGAAACGAACTCCGAAATGCGTCAACTGCACTAAATATAACCTGCGTGTCAAAAACCCACATTTCCGTCTCGACTGTTCACACTCTGCCATGACTGCAACCTGTCCCATCTTCCGTAGAATGCGTGAAATTGCCCATGAACTCACCAACTACAATGGCTCTTAGAAATCCACACATCTTCACCAAGCGAAACCTTAATATTGTCCAACTAAACGTTGACCGATGTTACTCAAGTTATCATAGCATATTGAATTACTCCATCGAAAATCACAAAGACATCCTCTTAATCCAGGAACCACCACCCAACTATGCCACCATGCAGTCAAGTGGCATAAGATTTTACACTGATAAACAAAAGTCAGTGGTTACAATCATCCTCAATCATAATATCACCATCACCTGTGCAACAGTCGACCAGTCGAACATCGTAACTGTTGGACTAGCTGAACTCATCCTAATAAACTGCTATTTTCCGCCTCAAACACCTCAACAACCCATCTTTTTAACAATTGAAAATCATTTGGCACTGAATGAGCACTGTATCATAGCAGGGGATTTTAACGCAAGATCAGCCCTCTGGAACGATACACTGACAAATACGAGAGGCAAAAACCTCGAGTCATTTATAAATACAAACGCCCTGTCACTCTATTACTCCAGAGATCATCCCTCCTTCTTTGCTTGTCGGGCGGGTGAGATCTTCGCAAGTAATATTGACCTTACAATCTCAACAAGAGAGACAGATTTCACCATTGAAGACTGGACCTTGGTAAACAGGGACTTTGTGACCCCTCATGCCTGCATTAGTTTCACCATCGAACCTATTGGCGAACTGCCCAGGAGAGCCCGAACGGATGAGCAATCCAGGAAACACTGGAATCTTCGCAACGTGGACTGGTCCATCTTCTCACTTGAGCTCGATATCAACCAACCAAACCTTGCAGGAGTCGAGACCGTCAGTAACATCGAGATTGATAACAACCTAGAAGTCCTGTATGAATGGATAGAGAGATCATTACTGTCTTCCGGTGGTCGTATTAAGAAAGCACGTGAAATCAAGGGTTACCCCTGGTGGAATGCAACCGTTGAAAAGACCATGGAAAACATCCACAAGGCCAAGAGGAGAATAAGACAGAATTCTCCAAGATCCCTTAAACATGCCATCACATGGCTTAACCAACTGACCATAAGACTCAAACAACAAATCCGCGAGGCAAGACTCGACTATTGGAAAAAATTCTTCACTGACTAAACAGGGTCAGATGCCTGGACCTCTTACTATAAAGTAGTAAAAGGCAGAAATAAAGGCAGTCTTCCAAGCAAAATCATCTCTGGCGACGAAGAGATTCATGGAATAACAACCTTGCTACTTTTTTCATCCATCATTTCTTTGGACCACTCCAACAAACGACCAACCCAACAATTCAAGATGCCACACCGGTGTCGAATCACCCACCAAACAGGCTCCACAGTTCCCAACTCTTCAGTTCTCAAGAACTGACCTGGGCATTTCAACTTTCGGGAATAAAGCTCCAGGTATCGAAGGTTATACCGCAGCAATCTTTAAACACCTAACACCAACAGCAATAGATACAATGACTAGCTTTTACAACAAATGCTTGACAAATGGGTACTTCCCAAAGTCCTTCAAGCACTCATACACGTCCTTATACCCAAGCCGAGCACCGATCCAACCTCTGTCAAAGCGTGTCGTCCGATTGGTCTTCTTCCACTGGCTGGAAAGATCCTAGAAAAGCTTATCCTGCATAAGATTGACAAATGGTTGGATGAAACAATTGACGACGCACAATATGGTTTCAGAAGAAACAAATCAACACTTGATGCTCTTTCAACCATTCTATCTCGCCACCAGGCCAACCGTTCAAGTGGTAAAGCGTCCATTATCATTTCCTTTGATATTGAAGGGGCATTTGATACACTCAGGTGGTCAAATATTCTTGAAATTCTAAGGAAAAGAAAATGTCCTGAACATATCAGAAAACTTATATCATCATACCTCTCAGAACGTCAAACTACGCTCTGCTACAATACCCAAGAAGTCACAATCTCTAACACAAGAGGCACAGTACAAGGCTCTTGCCTTGGACCAACGCTTTGGAATCTGATGATAAATGAGTTACTTGTCAATATGCGAACGCTCCAACTGCCCAACGTGCAAAGCCTTGCTTACGCAGATGATATCACGTTGATAGGTTCGATCAGCCGCCATCAAACCCAAGATGATGAGCAAAACATTAACAAAGCAATAGCCGAGCTCGAGAGTGGGCCAACAACCATAGCCTCAAATTCTCTCTCAAGAAAACCAACTTTCTCTGGATACCTGGAAGAAGCGACCTGCCCAAGCCGATAATTAAGCTTTATGACCAACCTATTCAAGAAGTGGAATCAACACGTATACTTGGCCTGATTCTGGATAATAAAATGAAATGGAACTCTCAGATAACAGCAATTAACACCAAGATTAATAACATCTTCTGTCGGAGCTACTCAGCCTTCGGATGGCCCAAGCCGCGACTAAGTCTGCTTCAGCTTATACATGATGCTGTAATTGTGCCAAAGATGACCTATGCACTTGGTCTCTATGGCAACATGCTAACCAAAGCGCAAGTCCACACCCTCGAAATGACACATAGGAAAATTCTCATACAGATAACAGGCTCCTATCGTACAACACCATACACATCGCTATGTAAGATAGTGGATGTACAACCCTTCGAACAAATAACATCTTACTTCTGCAACCTTGCAACCTGTCTGAGTGGCGACCTTAGCAGCCTGGACCTACCAAACGATCGACCAGTCGAACCAAGAACATCCATCAAACCCTCAATCTATGCAAAACAGTCGCCCCGCTTATAGTTCAACATTCAGCTGATACCGAAGCGAACGCCAACTTCACAGTCTACACCGATGGCAGTAAAATGCAAGGAGGTACAGGCTTTGGGTTGGTTGTTTACGACAACATCGGAAACGTCAAGCATCAGACAAGTGCAAAACTTTTTGACTATGCTAGCATCTTTCAGGCCGAGTGTCTTGCCATCATTCGAACACTGAAACTCCTGAACAAACGAATATGCAAAGTAAACGACCATGTTCACATCTTTACCGACTCAAAGCATCTTTTCCAGTCTTCGATCCTTTACGGTTCAGCACCCACTTATTGAGGAGATTAGGAGGAACATCGTAAATGTGACTGATAAAGGCATCAAAGTCAAGCTCTCCTGGACGAAAGCACATGTTGGCACTCCTGGCAATGAGCGAGCTGATGAGCTTGCCAAGGCTGGAATAAAATCCAAGACAAAATAATGTACTCTGCTGTCCCAAGATGCTTTATTAAGCAGCAAATAAAAGCGCAGACAATAGCACAAGTCAGCACTCGCCTCAACACAGAAGCATCATTGTCGATGCTGCCAGTAGCTGACCAGTGGAACAAGTCAAGATACCAGACCGACCTCATCAAACAAACAGTTCAAATTCTCTCTGGCCACGGCCCTTTCCCGGCATATCTGCAACGCTTCGGCCTCAGAGCTGACAGTCAATGCCTCTGTGGGGATAACCACGCCAATGCTAAGCACTATGTTGATGAATGCCCAATTATGGAACCGGCAAGAGTCCATCTCAGGATCAAGACACCACCAAGCAACAATGAACCATCCACGTATCTAGGAGTCCTCCTCCAGGACTTCACGGAGCCGATAAATGAGTTTTGTAAAACAATAATCAAAACAATCAGAGAAAAGAAGATCAACAGATGAGCACCTCATGAAGACCAAGCAACATAAACAAGAGACTGTGAACCAGCGCAAATCTCAATTGATAGAAAACAAAGTCATCCCTAGTCATCAAGTTATTATCTCCGGTATGTTTAATTCAAAATCACTTGATGTGTTGTCTTAAACCTCTAGTCAGTTAACCGCGACAGCTCATAAAATCAACACGCGAACCTGCTAACAAGCGACTGCGATTCCTTCACCTGATCAGCTGTCACCAGACGAACAGTCAACCAGTCAACTGTTCACTCTGCGACCACTCCAACTCTTAATCTCTTCTGCTCATGCGTCGAATTGAATCAATACAATTTTCGCTCAGTTGCAATCCTCACGCTGTCGCGACAACAACAAATCCTTTTACAAATCTTTTTACAATCGTTTTATTTGAATATTTTATGAAAGTTTACTCTCTCTAGTTATTTATTTATTCTGTTCATCACAAACAATTGAAAGATTTTACCACCACTCAGATAAACACAAAATTTTTCAACCTGTGACCTCTCAAACCTTTTAAAGCTACAATTTCTTAGTGTCTGTTAGTCAATTTTATTATGGAACCAACTCAATATATATACATATATACATACATATATATATATATACAACATATATAATATATATAACCTAACCAACTCCTCAATTTCCCCCAACATCCGATTCAAACCAAGCGTCTGTCTGTCAATCGTTCCTACCCTCACCCATATAAAACATGTCACCTTCCGAAGTTAACATCTCGTATCCTCGACTTCACCAATATTTCGTTACTTCTTCAAAATCTAAACATCATCAAGTCAATTTCAACTGTTGAAGAAAAGACTGAAGCTCCTTCTAACAACATCACCTTGCCTAAAGTCCTCAAAACCAAAGATCAACCATCTCAAAGTGACCAATCGACTACCCCAACAAGTGAATCCTCCAACCAGGCAACTCAAGGAACTGAAACCCCAGTCTCCCCATCAGCTATAGATGAGATTGTCTGTGATGAACAGCTAACTTCTGACTTCCTCGCAAGCTTAGGTTTTCCAAATGTGCTAAGCCAAGAAGATGAGCTGCGAATCTGTAACAAAATTGGTGAACACATTTTTCAACAGATTGAGCCAAAACTCACCAACCTTCTTACCCAGCAAGTCAAACCTTCCCAAAGTGACCAACCAACCAGTCCGATTTTAACCACAACAATTGAAGAGGCGAAAGAGCCACCCAAGAACGCTCGAATCCATCAAGTAGCAAGCCTTCGTTTCCCTGCGTTTCACCAGCGTAAGCTCGCTGACTACACCAACAAACTAAAGACTCTGCTCATCAATGTCATCCAAATGCTTCAAAAAATCAGGATTAGTTCCACTCAAGATGAACCTTTCGAATACGAAGACTCTGACATGTTCAAGATGCTCAAATCGTGCGGTGAAATATACGACGAGATTGAACCTGTGAACATGCGAGATGATAATCAACTTGGGCCAAATTCCTGGGCAGAAAGGTACATTAATGAATTTACCACCAACAACCCATCAGGCGAACCGACCATTCAGGTCGCCGACTAAGTCAGAAAGATATTAAGAAAGCATCGAGACATGGAGTCAAGATGACAACCCCCGATGGTACTATTAAGATCTTGGACCACCCGAAGAAACGATGTCTTCATCTGATGCTGGTGGTGAAAACAACAAAAGTCATTAAAACGCAAAGCTGAATCGCAACGTCCTAAGCAATCACCTGTCGACTTGACCAAGCGAAAAAAGATGCTTCGAACAAGTCAACAACTTGACTCCAGTGACAGTTCAAGTGTATCTGATGATCAGGAAGGTGACCCTGATTTTCAAGCCGATTCAAATGAAATGGAAACAACTGAGGTTGAAACGACAACCGATGCTCCAACAACCGCTGAAGAAGAAACCAAATCACCTGTTGACCATGCCAATGATGAACAATCCAGCAGTCAAAGTGGAGAGGACTCAGATGGTGACGATGTCCAACCTCTTCCAATGTCTGACAAGGAAGCAATGTATATGGAATCATCCATGAATGGGCCAGCAGGGACGATGGTGTCCCAGTAAGAATATGTACTCAAAAGCTGCGTTTACTTCCAGGCATACCATGTAGGAAGCTCTTTTCCTGACCACTACAGGCTCTACCACCCGAACCTGTCAAAGTACCAGAATACCTTCTTTGTAGCAACCGTGTCACCCCAACAACATCAAGAAATGACTATTCGTAGGGCGAGACTGAGCTTTCTGGCTAATCGTATAAACAGAAATACTGTCATTACCCCAGAAGAGAAACAAGAAGCAATACTTGAAATCTCCTTAGCAATCAGAGACTCACCCGTCGACCAAGTCGATGACATTGATTGCAAGGACCACAAAGGAGCCGCAGAAGCGTCAACCAAGCGAAGCCAAGAGAGGCTTTCAGAAGCAGTGTCACCAAACCTATTGTAATCACTACCAATTCACCCTCAACCAACCTAAACCCAAAATACCCCTTCGATACAACCATCCACCTCTTCTAAAATGAAAAAAGCGCCAGAGCAACACTCAACCAAGCGAAAATCTACCCCTCCACCAAGCGAACAAGTCAACCCTGAACAAGGCTTTCGAACCCTTAAACTCTTGGCAAGAGCCAGAGGAATAACAATTGAGCAACTTATCTCCCAAATGAACAAAGAATCTAATCAAAAGAAACCCTAAACCAAACATTTAATCAACCAAAGTCCCAAACCAGCTAACCAACAACCACCTCAATATGCCATTCTAATCAGTACAAAATCTTTCAACTGCAATTAAAAGTACAAAACATTATATCTTGATATTTTTGGTAATAGTACAAATGTATAATATTCATATAAAACAATCTCCTCGACAACGCAGTTCATAATCCTCTTATTAGCGCGACTCAAACCAACCACCAGTCGAACAAGCGAGCAACCGATCAACCCAATCAGTCGATCAAAGTCATACCACTTTGGTCGACTGAATAATTTCATGAAACCCTTTAAAACAAATACTAACCATGCAGATTCACAATCACCCAACAAATCAACCCACCAAATACTTACCTCCTTACACGCATGACCTAAGCCACCACTCACTCACCATTTATAATCAAATCACTTTACTACTAACCCTCATCTCACACGTTTCAAATTTCATCAAAATTAGTACGTAGAAACCTTAAACCCCAATTCCATCATCATGTCATCAAGTAATAGTAAAACCTCCTACTCCAAAACCCCAAGTTGCCGCCTCTCTTGATCGCTACCTCGATAAGCTATTGTCTAAGATCAATACTGAGGCACTGGCCAACGGAATTTGTGAAAAGGTTCAACAGGAAGTGTCCAAACTCCTGGCCCGACACAACACAGAAAGGAACTCATTGTCTAGTGCTAATATTGAACACCGTGAAAGTGAAACAGTTACTCCTCCAACCGTTGAGAAGTCAAACAATGACATCTCGACTTGTGAGCCTGATAACACTCCGATGTATGCTGAAGTCAATAAGCTAATCGAGAAATCTATGTTTCTTGGCCGTTTAACCCATGAACTTCTTCACCAACTTGGCACGAGTCCCAATGGAGTTGACCTGTCGACCGAGCGAACCATCAACTTGCATCGACGACATTAACGCCACCTCCAACAAGCTCTTCTCTCTCATTGGAGACAAACCAGAATATGGTAGCTTCTCGTTAGGCAATCAGACACGACCCATTAACAAAACAGCCATTGAAACCTGTGAACAGTTCAAGAAACTACCAGTGAAATCACCAAAGGCTTCCACCAACCTGAACAAGCGTCCCAACTATCAAACCAAACTCAAACCCATCACCTCAGCAGACTGACCTCCATTCTCCTCATGCATTAAAACCCATTCTCCCTCTCCACGCTCGGCCATGCAAACAAACTAACCCCCTAGAATAGCAAACAAACCAAATCATATGCAAAACTAACCCAAATAAACAGTCCAATTTAAATAAAAGCCAACTGATGCTATGAGCTCTCTTTTCTCTTATACTTTACTTTCAATTTAATCATATTGATGGCACATTAAAATTTTGAAATAAACTGAACGGTTCAACTCTCCACTATTCCACCCTACAACTCGACCACCAAACCGGTGGTTGAATGTCTGAACTACTTATGGGTTCGAGAGCAACTCAATGTCTCATCCGTCAGGAGGCAAACAGTTCACTCAGCCAACACACCACCTTACCAGGCAGTGAGTCGGAACTTGCACTCTCATCTGTTCAGTCGTTAGACTGTTCACATGCTCTGCGTGTCCTTACTCACTGCCTGGTCACCTTGACTGGTGGAAGTCTTGCTCGTTCGTAGGGTCACATGTGAACCTGCAAACAACCCAACCACCAAAGTCTCGACCGGTCACCCATTCAAATGTCACCAAGCGAACAATCCAAAATGAGCTTGTTCATAATCATTCCCCTGTTCACCTCCTCACTCTTTCATTTCCTCATCCCCTCGCCTCCTCATTTCAGCACTTCCTTCAAAACAAAGATCAAATTATGTAAATCACTCATTTTTATAAACCTCACAACTACTTGATTATCTGCAATCTCAAACCCGAACCAACCTGTGAACCTTCCAATCTCAAACCCTCAACCAAATGAACACTTCAAACACTCAACCCTACGACTAACCGAAAAGCGACCACTCGACCATTCGAAAAAGAATGATGTCGTTTGTAAAGTCGCATGGTCGACTGTTCCCCTCCTCGCATCCTCAATTATATGTACCCTGCACCCGCCGAAAGGTGGGTACTCATTCATGGAAAAATTATAAATAAACTTGCTTTTCAACCGTAAAAAAAAACCTAACCTAACCTAACCGATGCAAGGGGAAAACTGTTCGTTGGATTGGTTTAAATGGATCCAACCGTCAAGGGTCACTGCAGAACCACCGTTAACCATAATATCAAACCAACCTGCATCTCAGGAACAACAATACCCAAATATTGATCATTGACAACACCTCTAACCCCATTAGGCCATTGCCTGAGGAGAGATTATCTGACCACGAATAACAGAAACTTGGCTATAAAATGATGATAGAAAATGAGAGAAAACAAAAGACAAAAATAGGAATAAGAATAAGGAAGAATTAGAAAACAAAGAAAATGAATCTTGGATAGATTTCAATCAATCTACAGTTAATGAGCCTTAAATTATTCAACAATAAACATTGATTTAGAAAAAGAATAGAAGAAAAATATCTAAATCAATCGATTTTACATCGACATTACAGGAACAAAATATTCACCATTTTGCTCAACACAAGCTCCACGATCGTTACAATTTCGAGGACAACCCTCTGTTTAAAACGGAACAAGAAAATTTCACATGAGCACCAAGATAATATTTATAATAATTTTCTAAACATGGTGATAGTTTTACCTAATGTACACAATTTTCCGTTCCATCCTTGGTGACAGAAACAAGTTCCATTGTAACACTGACCATGATTCAAACACCGACGGTCACATAAACGTTGTTCACATTTCAATCCAGTCCAACCTTCATTACAAACACACCGATCACTTTGACAGTTTCCATTGGGTCCACAATCGAGGTCACATTTTTCTGTAATAAACCCACAAAATAAATTAATAAATTCTTATAAAAATAATCGAAACTATTGAAAAATTGTCACGGCGAGAAAAAAGCGAAGAAACAAAAATTCCAAAATAGCCAAGAAAAAGACACTCGACAAACACTAAGTCACCATTTTAAACATATTCCAACAAAGAGAAAAGAATAATTTTCTTGTTCTTCAAAAGAATAAATTTTGAAAAAGAAGAGAAAATCACCAAAATCTTCAAAATGGACGCACTTTTGTTATAATTAAGAGAAATTAAGTAAAGTGTATAAGTTAATACTCCAGATAAAATTAATGTTAGAATTCCACTGGTGATTGCGGCACATCTCAAGAGACATTTTCACTTTAGAATAGACCGATGGTTTATCCACAGATTTGTAAATACTTGGGAAAGGTTCACGTACGGTATATGAGTGGTTTGGGAGTAAACCATAACAGTGGTGATGTGACCTATTCATCGTCTTATCATCTCCGATTGAAAAGAACTGGAAATAAATTGTTCTTTCCTTTTCCAACCAGAAAATGATGAGAAGGAGTTACCAAAGAAATTCTTTGAAAGAATAAGAAGAGGGTAGACTCTTGCAAGAGAGCAATTTTTGAGACCATTTCGAGATTTTGGTCCAATAAATGCTAAATATAAGCTCAATAAAATCTCGTTGAAAATGGCCTTAAAATCATTAAGAAAACTGTTGGACGGTTATGGACAGTTATTAATTACATTCTGATACATGGAATTAATCATGATGGATCAATGGATCATGAATCACTGTAGAGTTTGAAAAGAAAGATAAAATATTTGGTTAGTTCATAAAACGGATGACTGATTGTTAATTAAGAGGAAATAAAGTAATAAAACGACCATACAAATACCTTTCCACTTGAGTGATCGTGTCCTCAGTTAAAGGGTTAGCATAGCGGAATCCGATATAATGTCTATGAGGACCCTTTTCTGGACTTATTTCATCTAAAATTTTGGTCATTAAAGATCCCTGTTCACCAGTCCAGTCTCTGATTGGTGATCCACTCCCGATTTGATTATATTTTTTAGCAACTTTGGGTGCTTGTCTCTTGACGATCCATGGACCTAATTTACTAACCAAGAAAAGATGAACAAGGTGTAAGCAAACGACCAAAATTAAACATTGAGACGACAATTAACTTACTCTCACATTGGAAGAGTCATAATATCACGATCAAGAAACAATTTGGTCAAAAACGGTTCGACTTCCTCTGAATTCTTAGGTCCTCCCATGTTGAGCATAAAAATGTCATGGCATAAAATTGAAACAATGTTGATGAAGATGAAAGGGATGTGATGGTGGAATTGGTGATAATGATAATGATGTTAATGAAGATGTGGATAGTGAACTTAATGAATATAAAGGTGCTGGTGAAGGACCAATAGGTAAATCCGCTGGCGATTGAACTGATTGCGGATGAAGATGAGTCTGATGAAACGTACCTGAATCAGCGTGACAAACATTGACAGAGGAGTGATTACAGGCAAGTCGATTGAATGACAATTTGACTGTCGGTCATTTTGAGTCAACCATGAGGAACGGCTTTGGTTTTGTTGAATGGACTACATGATAATTGAAGGGAGCTCGAGAGAGACTGTCTAAAGGTGATGAGGTCTACAGATTTAGTTAAATTCTTGAGAGAGGCGCTTTTAGGTAGGCTGCGTAGGCACAATTTATCATCACTGATGATTCATCAGATGAACAAGAATAGGAGATGTTTTGATATTCAAAAATAACCTAAAGAGTAAAAACCAGGTTTTTAAAACCTCTACTCTTTGCCCAGACCCATTTGATGTTTTTTATTTTTAAAAGCCGCGAGATTCAAAACAGTAACTGAATCAATCAACATCATGAAATGAAACTATGACTAATTTGAATTCTTTTTTTTGTAATTAAAAATTGAAAACTTATGTACAATGTAAACAACTTCTAAACGTTAAATTGTAATTCAATTACCAAATTAACAGAAAATTAACCAATTAACTATTAGTAATTGGAAACTTGGATTGATGACAGAAAAACTCTGTTCCCAAGAAAGTTCTCATCATCACTTGATTTGGTATCGGAGTGACTTGGAGATTGAACCCCATCAACTGTAACAAGTGAATCATCGGTTCATTTGTCCATTTCTTTTTGAGATTTCATGTGTCTCATCATTTATAACAAACATCAATTTAAACATCAACATAACACATCACGTTTTCCAAATCTTCTGTGTTGGTCTGTATATAAATGTGACTTCACCTTCTCTCAAGACTTATTCTTTTGAAATTTTTGCTCTCTTTTTTTTGCAATCAATAACCAACTTTTCCCAAATCATCACTGCTGATACAATTTTTGAAGTTAATATTGTTCCAGAGATTAAAGGTAAATCACTTGGTACTACCTTTTTCAAAGTTTGTCTTCGACATTATGAGAGAATTGTCACTTATGACCATGAGTGTTCTTTTGGTGAGACAACATTTCTCCAGGTGAATATGATAAAATTCATCAAATTAAGTTAAACTTTTCATGGGCTCGTGATTTTTCACTTATAATAGAAGGTTTCAACTCAGGTAAGAACTAAATTCTATTCATCTAACTTTACAATAATTTTAATCTTTTACCACTATCATTTCTTATGAATACTTTCTTATAATTCTCTTTTTCTTTATTTTTCTTTTCATGATATTATTATTTTCATCATGTTCTTTTTTAGATCGATATGTTGCTAAGGATCGTATTCTTCGTCAAGAATTCCAAGAATCATTGCTAATACATTCTGATTGGAGATCCATGGAGATCAACCAGTTACAATCAAATGGTTCAGAGATTCAACTCCAATTGATAAAGTCGATCCCTCGAGATATTCAATTACCGATGCTCAAATAAAGAAGGAACTAAAAGTATCATGACCGTTTCATCAGCTGATGTGAAGACGACGGACTTTACCATTGTTTTGCTGAAAATTCGTTTGGAAAAGATGAGAGAAAATTAAGTTAACTTTTGTTAATCCTTGATTGTTGGGATAACTTTAATTGTCTAGTTGATAAATCATAGAGAAAGCAATTAACACCCAATAATCAGACATGATTATAAGCCTGGAAGGTATTTAGTAAATTAATTTTCTCGATACTTCTAGCAGTTAACTCAATAATTGACTTTTGAGGTAAATTTCATTTCATGATGACGATGATTGGAGTTAATTTAACCCACTAATTCATGTAAATTAACTTTGAGAAACAATCTTATAGAAGATAACTTGATCATTAAATTTAGATTGAGTTGATTTGTATATCAGTATTAGTTTAATACTAATTAGCATTATCAGAAAGAGGCAAATTAACTTTCTTTATTATCTCAATCGATTGATTGATTAGTTTAATTGTGATCAGTGTTCCGATGATGATAAAGATATTAATAGTAACAATTAGGTTGATGTTAGTGAATTGATTGAATTGAGATGGATTAAAATGTCAAACCAACAATTAACAACTGATTAGTGTTAAAGTTTTTACTTCGTTGTAAACGCTTAAAGTTGATTGGACATTGGAGACAACCAAATAATCAATAAATTAATTATTTTATGATTAAAAACGAGTTGTAATCGTCATGGCTGAAATTAATTACCTGAACTTGAACTTTGGGAATCTGTTTGGATTAGCAGATTAATTTAATTTAATGGTGATGCTCAAATCAGTTTATTCAATAGGAAACTTAATTAATTTGGAACAACTTTCCGAAACCTTTTATTCATGAGTTGCTGCTGGTGAACAACCGAAGACTGATACTGAAAGATCTTATCCATTTCTTCAGACGGCCGAATCCTTATTTTCTCAAATCAGATATTCTTTTCATCTCAACTTTCATAGTTGTGAGCTTTTTGCTTTTATAACGAAATTCATTCTTTAATCGATTTTCAATGGACTTTAGATTTATGATTAGTACAAGATGATTTGTGAGAAAACAAGGTAAAAATGAAGATGAGGATGGAGATGAGGATGAGGATGAGGATGATTATGGATGAAGAGGGTTACCTGTCATCGAGATAATAACATTTTTACTGATGAAGATGAAATTTTTGGCTAATCTCTAGAACACATCCCTAACAGGATCGACTTCATACTTCATATATATAATCTTTGTAACATTCTATGTCTATGACAAAAATTATTTCCCGCGGAAACATCTGTGTCGAAAGTTACAGTTAGATGAAAACGTATTTTTGCATTGAAGTCTATGGGTAAATAAGAAGTTTTATAGTAACTTAATGAGTTGTTTCAGACCTATGATTTTTATATGTGATGTACATGCATATAAGAGTTCAAGAAAAAGTTGGAGATTATATGTAGGTAGCAAGTATACTTTCAGGCGGTCTAAAATGAATTTTACCATATAAATGCTAATACCATACGAAATGCTTATTAGATTCACACAAAATTTTGTATGTGAGATATTCAAGGTCGAATATAAAGGTCAAGGACATTTCAAGGTCAAACTTAAAGAAATTATTTTGGCCTAAACTGGTGCTCATAGCTATTAATTTGAGACTATACTGTGTGAACTAGGTGGCGTCGAGTTTTTTACACCCAGAAAGTGATAATTAACTATAGGAAAGGGTCGAGATTGATTCTTTTGAACCCAGAAAGTGATAATTAACTATATCAAAGGGTCGAGATTGATTCTCTTCACCCAGAAAGTTTCAATCAACCACCTCAAAGGGTCGAGATCGAGTTTTTTACACCCAGAAAGTTTCAATTAACCATAGAAAAGGGTCGAGCTTGATTCTTTTCCACCCAGAAAGTTTTAATTTACTATAGTAAAGTGTCGAGATTGATTCTTTTTTCACCCAGAAAGTTTCAATTAACTATTGAAAAGGGTCGAGATTGATTCTTTTGAACCCAGAAAGTTTCAAACAACCATCTCAAAGGGTAGAGATCGAGTTTTTTACACCCAGAAAGTTTCAATTAACCATAGAAAAGGGTCGAGATTGATTCTTTTCCACCCAGAAAGTTTCAATTAACTATAGTAAAGGGTCGAGATTGATTCTTTTTTCACCCAGAAAGTTTCAAACAACCATCTCAAAGGGTCGAGATTGAGTTTTTTACACCCAAAGTGTTTTAATTAACTATTGAAAAGGGTCGAGATTGATTCTTTTGCACCCAGAAAGTTTCAATTAACTATAGTAAAGGGTCGTGATTGATTCTTTTCCACCCAAAAGTTTCAATTAACTATAGTAAAGTGTCGAGATTGATTCTTTTGAACCCAGAAAGTTTCAATTAACTATAGTAAAGGGTAGAGATTGATTCTTTTCTACACCCAGAAAGTTTCAATTAACTATTGAAAAGGGTCGTGATTGATTCTTTTCCACCCAAAAGTTTCAATTAACTATAGTAAAGTGTCGAGATTGAGTTTTTACACCCTGAAAGTTTCAACTAACTAATGGAAAGGGTCGAGATTGACTTTTGAGGTAAATTTCATTTCATGATGACGATGATTGGAGTTAATTTAACCCACTAATTCATGTAAATTAACTTTGAGAAACAATCTTATAGAAGATAACTTGATCATTAAATTTAGATTGAGTTGATTTGTATATCAGTATTAGTTTAATACTAATTAGCATTATCAGAAAGAGGCAAATTAACTTTCTTTATTATCTCAATCGATTGATTGATTAGTTTAATTGTGATCAGTGTTCCGATGATGATAAAGATATTAATAGTAACAATTAGGTTGATGTTAGTGAATTGATTGAATTGAGATGGATTAAAATGTCAAACCAACAATTAACAACAATTATTGTTAAAGTTTTTACTTCTCGTTGTAAACGCTTAAAGTTGATTGGACATTGGAGACAACCAAATAATCAATAAATTAATTATTTTATGATTAAAAACGAGTTGTAATCGTCATGGCTAAATTAATTACCTGAACTTGAACTTTGGGAATCTGTTTGGATTAGCAGATTAATTTAATTTAATGGTGATGCTCAAATCAGTTTATTCAATAGGAAACTTAATTAATTTGGAACAACTTTCCGAAACCTTTTTATTCATGAGTTGCTGCTGGTGAACAACCGAAGACTGATACTGAAAGATCTTATCCATTTCTTCAGACGGCCGAATCCTTATTTTCTCCAAATCAGATATTAACTTTTCATCTCAACTTTCATAGTTGTGAGCTTTTTTTTATAACTATTGAAAGGGTCGAGATTGATTCTTTTACCAGAAGTTTCAATTAACTATAGTAAAGGGTAGAATTGATTCTTTACACCCAGTTTCAATTAACTATTGAAAAGGGTCGTGATTGATTCTTTTCCACCCAAAGTTTCAATTAACTATAGTAAAGTGTCAGATTGAGTTTTACACCTGAAGTTTCAACTAACTATTGGAAAGGGTCGAGATTGACTTTTGAGGTAAATTTCATTTCATGATGACGATGATTGGAGTTAATTTAACCCACTAATTAACAAATTAACTTTGAGAAACAATCTTATAGAGATAACTTGATCATTAAATTTAGATTGAGTTGATTTGTATATCAGTATTAGTTTAATACTAATTAGCATTATCAGAAAGAGCAGATTAACTTTCTTTATTATCTCAATCGATTGATTGATTAGTTTAATTGTGATCAGTGTTCCGATGATGATAAAGATATTAATAGTAACAATTAGGTTGATGTTAGTGAATTGATTGAATTGAGATGGTTAAAATGTCAAACCAACAATTAACAACTGATTAGTGTTAAAGTTTTTACTTCTCGTTGTAAACGCTTAAAGTTGA